AACGGAAAAGAATGGAAATTCTGATCAGAGTTGTTAATACGTAGTTCTTCAAAATATCTTAGAAACTGACCACAATTTAACCGTTAAACTTAGTTTGCTCAGCTAATGAAAGAAAATCCTGTTCAGTTCTGCATAGTTTAGACACCAAGAAACCAAAATGTGTTTTCACCTAAGTCTCAGAAAATAATTTTCTTTTAGGGATGTTGATGTCACCATTATTTGACATCAAGGACTTCTCAAGCAGTGCCTGAAGCAGGGAACTACTGCACGGCTTCAAAGAGCAGTTGGGTCCACCACTCTTCATCATGAAGAAATGCTCGTCTGAGTCATCTACAGTTCAGACCATTTAAAAACACTAAAAACTTCACAGAACTTTCTTCAGAAAGGCACAGAGTGTGGGACAAGCAGCTTTTGCTCTCTAACGGTGTTCACAGGTTCTTTCTTGAGAGGTCTCTCAGTCCTTTGCAGCACCCACACCCTGGGCACACCTGCACAGCCTGTTGCACACCTGCACAATTTACAGGAGCCTCAAGGGTTCATTCCTGACCTGGCTCCACATCTGGTAGTGTAACGCTTCAGCTACACCAGTTACAGACACACTGGACTCTGTGGTACAGGAATATCCACTGCAATCCATTTCCTCCTCTACTAACTGCTGCCTCTGTTTCTTACCTGGTTTTGCTGTCCATGTTCCAATAAACCCTTTGTTGCAATGCCAGGAAAAGTTCATTTTTATGAACTTCCCCCAGACCTCCAAAAAAATCAAGCCAGGACCTTAAAATACTATAACTATTTTAAAGCAATAGAGAGGCTTTAGAGAAAAAAACTGTTGTTCCTGAATCTCCAGCCTTTGGGCTTTAAAAATTTCTCCATAAGCAGAAAGATTGTTCAGACTCTCTCTTCACTTTATGTTTCAACAAAAGTCACATAATATTGCACCTGTAAGGAAAATCAGCAAACAAGAAAAGTTGTGTGAAAAGCTGATAATTTATCAGGTGTGTGAAAAAAAACACAATATATAAGCTTCTGGGGTCTCTGGAATGCTAAGTCATCAAAACAGCACAGCAGCTTTAACAAGAGGATCCCACAGATACTGTCCTCATAGAAGCTTTGTAGTTCATGCAATATGTACCAGAATTTTTAAAAATATTCTAAAAGGATTCTCAGGAGTGAAAGGGAAATCTGTGAAGCATTCAGCATTATTTTGAACACAGCACACACACTATCTCTTGGAAGTAAGCCATTGCACCACCTCCTTCTCCCCCAGATGCCAAATCACACAGGGATAGGGAATGGGCATGGAAAGGGTCACCAGCAGCTTTTCCAAGAATGGAGGTAACCGTAACTAGAGCTCATCCCATGCCAAGTAGCTACATAATAGTTATACATGAAGTTAAGGCTATCTACTCTTATTTTGTTTTGAAATAAGAAGTTATTAAAAATATGGATATTTCTGTATTTTATTTGAAAAAGATGCCTTTCTACATCTACAACAGTAGCATTATGTGGTCATGCTTATTGTTTAAGCTGTATAAAGACAGGGAAAATGATCCCTAGGACAGATTTTTCAGGCTCCTTTCAAGATTATTTATATCCCCGTTAGGCTCAATTAATCCATATATGACTATACTGAAGTCAGAGCCCCAGAAATTTTCTCCATGTAGAAACCAGCATAGATAGGAACAAAGTTCAGTACGAAGCCACTTGACCTCCTAGAGCTTCACAGGGGCACCAGGGAGACAAGCAACAGAAAGTCCTTTGGTTCTCTGGCAGCATCAGCACCAGCATACATGTCTCCCTTAACTGGAGGTGGCACACTCGTACATTGTTCTTGGAGAACACAAGCTGAGAGGCTAGTATACCTCAGACTGTGATGGCCCACAAATGCAGTGTTTCTTATGACAAAGTTCTAAACTTGAGGAAAAAGTTAACTCATGTAAAAATCCTAAAATTCTCTGCACATTATTTTTTGTGTGTGTGGAAAGAGTCTTACAGTTACTTCATATTCTCTAAACTAATTACTTTTATCACAAATGTGTACTGGTAAGAAGCAAAATGATGCTAAATTAGCATAGCTTGGAGGATGTCCAAGACAAAAACAAGAGACAGCCCTGAACAGAAAGGCAAATTTGGTGCTTATCATTAAAAGCGCAACTGATCGAATTCAATATCTGAGTAAGAATTGCCGGTAGAAATACATTATTCATACCTGTATCATCTAATATTCATAAGCCTACCAGTACAGCACTCTGGACAGGTTTCAGTGTTTGCTCCTTTAAAATATTCACATACTATCCCATGGGAATCCTGATACATCATAAGTTCTCTAACAGAGCTATCCCAACAAATGAAAATTCACAGAAGCTGTAGGCCTTTTAGCTGCCTTGGAAATCTGTCAGCTATAAACCAAAAAAATACAACAGTTAGGTACTGAGACAACTGATAAGTCTCCTGGCTTTTCAAAAGATTGAATCACTGTGGCCTTCAGACACTTCTTATTGGCTCAATGCCAGCTGTAGGCCAGGCAAGTGAGTAGTGCCCGAGAACTGAAATATTATGAGCTCCCAGTATTCCACTCCTGGTGTTTCTCAAGTAAATACAACCAAAAGTTCCCATAGATCCCTTGCCATTTCCTCCATACTATAGCATTTTATTTAATTGGGTTTTTTCCTGATGATTGATGACATTTATATCTAAGCCTCATCTGAGGTTTGGTTTTCTTATTAAGGGACTTAGAGTGAAATACTGTGGGATGTTATTCAAATTTCAAAAGAATATTTTTCTACTCTTCTATTTCCAACTTCAGCTTCATAATCACAAATTTCCTTGGCTCTGTAATAATTTCTGACTGACCATGAATACATATTTGACATGTTACCAAAAAAAAAATAAAAAATAAACCCCAAAATAAAAACCAAAACACCACACACCAAAAATACCCCAAAACAAAACAAAACCAAACAAACAACAGAACACAACAGGTGTAGCAAGTAGTCACTACTCCATGTACCACTTACAATTAGAAAAGGCAAAAGTTTAGAATTCATATCCCTGGTACAAAAAACTCAAACAACTGTTAAGGAGTTTGGCAATCGCTGCCTTCTACTTTATATTTTAAAATAAGCATACATGTGGGTTTGTATGCTTGTTACTCCATCTTCATAAAAATGAAAATAGACACATAAGATGCAAAATAAAAATTAACAAGATCTAAAGTTTGAAAACAAGTTGTGGACTCTCTTGTGTAAAAGGTCAAGCAGTGAGCAACAGACTTGGATTTGCTGCTTGAACTGTCAGCAGATCTTATAACGAAGTCCAGAACAAAACTGACTCATATGAGTTATATTAATTTAATTATGCAATACCCCAAACGAAACCAGGCATTTTTGTCTTGCTAAGTGTAGTTTAAAAATAAAGTCTAACCATGAGATCTCTGCTGGGCCAAGCATACCCAAGAATTCACACCATGAGCTAGAAACTAACAGAGTTCTACTTAAAATACTGTGATATACACTAGGGATTTTGCATAAATTTAATTAGTTTCCTACATTTCAGCAAAGTATATTAAGAACAAATGAATTCTCTCAGCATAGAACAGTGAAACAATGAGGAACAAATGAGCTAAACCATTTTCATAAATCAATTCATGCTAAAATATGTGCTAATCCAAATCTGCACTCCTGTTAGATCTTACCATATGAGTACATTCAGGAATTTTAATTTAAACTGCCTGCAGTTAAACAGAAAAGGGCAGTAAATCAAGACCACTGTCATCATTCACATTTGCTATTGCAGCATCACATTTGTAAAGAAAAAATGGCAAAGCTGCCCCAAACAATGTTCCCTGGGTCTTTTAAAATGCTACTCTTGATTCTTATACACAATTCACTTGCTGTGTGACACTGAACTTATGCAGTCGTCACATTTGTGAGGAAAAACAGGAGAGGGAAATCTTCTTTCCAGATTTACAGAGTACAACAACTTAATAAAGTTTTCATTTAACTTTAAAATAAAATAGAATCATGTGGAATTACTAATAGTTTGCTCTCTAAAGACTAAGAAGTTAATCTGAAGATGCCTGAGGTGTTCACTCAAAAAGTTCACCCCATATTTTGAAAGTTGCATCTTTCATTAGATTGGAAGTACTACAAAATAGCTTATTCTTTTATTATTTCATTACTTCCACAACTCTTCCCAAGTCAATCTTCTAATTATTGAAAAACATTAAAAGACAAGGATTATTTCAACTTCTTCAGCGATGCAAGGATTCAACTGGGCTAAAAAGATTATGCTTTACAAAACATATTTCCACACAGAAAAATATTACTGTTGTTGAAAACTGATATTTCATTTATTACCTGCTATGTTTATTTAATAAATCATTTTTACAAACAAATTAATAAAGATAGCTATAAGACTTGTTTGTTTGTTTGTTTGTTTGTTTTAAATGAAGCATTTTCATTGAGATTCTTTGAAATATTGGCTGAATATTCAACAGGTCAATTCAACAACACGACAGCGACATAAACTGAAACCAGAAACCTTAACCTTTTATTCTGAAAGTAAAAATCTCGATAGTTTCCCTAGAGGAAAGTAAAATTCAATAAAGAAGACTGAAGGTTGTCTGCCAAAAAGAACTACCCACCTCCAGTTAACTCTACAATTAATTGTCTTTCTCAGAAAATTACTTGGATGGGGCCCTTCTCATTCAAGGGTATAGCCCTCTAAGAATGTTACTAAATCAGGTGTTATTCTGAGGATTTAATCACATTTTAACCCAAACAAAGAATTAAAGAGATATTTTACAGAAGAGGGTAGAAGTATCATCTCCATCTTACAGACAAATGCATACAGGCGGATAAAACATTCTCATGGTAATTCTGTAACTATAGCCACACTTCGATGTGTGTGCTGTAGTCTGTCAATCCCAGTTCTTCACTACAGAATCATGTCCTTTGAAAGAAGTTGTTTCCAGAAAAGGAAAATCTGAGAAGTCTCTCTTACCTGGCAAAAAATGATGCTGCCACCGAGGTGCCTGTGGATACTTCACTGGCAACATACGTGCTCTGGGAAGCAGGGAAGCTGTACAAGGCGGGTTTATCTGCATTGTAGCGGTTCAATGCTGCTTCAGTCAGGCCCTCTCGACCAGTCTCTGTCATAAGCTGAGATATCTGAGGACAGAAAAATACAAAAGTGTCATTGGCTAAAGCTCACTGGCTGACCCCTTCTCATCCAGAAGTGCCTCTGGGTTGCAGATGTGGTAAGGGAGGCATTTTATTCACTACACCTGTGCTGCTCTGTGAACAAGTTTACTGCTTCTGTCATGCTAATCTACAGTACTTTAGCTCAGCTCTAACCCTCTCTCCATTAAAACTAATGGGATAAATTCATTCTATCACTAGAAATGTCAATAACATCTATGCCTTTCCATCCATACAGAAAAGAAAGAGCAAACAATAATCCTTGCTCAGTTTTACTTCAGGGTACAAGAGAGACACCTTAGACAGGTGTAAAATATTCATGTATTACTTCAGGTGGAAAAAAACCCCACAACCCACACATTTGTTTGCTTTTGTAAAATAACACAGCACCAGCACATAGCATAGGAAGGAGTCCCTTGGGATCCTGGACTATTTGTCATCTCTTTGGAAAACTGGGATTATTACCATTCACTTTCATTGGCTTTCTTAAAAGGTTTGAAACATTGCGTGATTTCATTCATCTGATGGTCCATTTAACTTTTTTTGTTTTTTTCCTGCTGTTAGGAAGCCTCATCTCAGCCGCCCACTGCCTGGAAAAAGAAAAGGAGTTCAACCAAACTTGACCCAGCTCTCCTCAAATTAACTGAAAGATCTCTGACTTCAGAGAAAATTGGGTCAGCCCTACTGAAGCAACCTCATCAAGGCTTGATTGCAGTTTCTTGACTTGAATTTGTAAAGGTGTGGTGTCATCTATTGTACTTCATGCAATTCCTAACAACTTCATTTTTGCCTCCTTACAACCACAAATAACTTTTGTTCATCAGTGTATGTCACAAAGTTCCAACATAAACTGAAGAAGAACCCTCCTAAATTATTGCTAGGAATTCTCAGGCATAGTTTCCTTTCCCCTGCAAAAATTTGTAAGAACCAGTCTTTCAAGTGCTCATTTTCAGTTGCCATACCCATACTTACCATCACAATAACAATAGAATATCTTTGTGGATACGTATTTGAGATCATCCAGTGGTTCTTTTTCTACTTAGGCTTGCTTTATTTCAGCTGTTAAAAATTTCAGTTATTAAAGGCAAAGTTGAAGAAGAGTGATTTGTATTTGGGAGTGAAGAAGGTGTGATATGGAAACATTTTTTAGACAAACTATCAAGCCACCTTTGTTTCTTTTGTAGTGAATTGTTACCCATTCTACTATGACTGAGAAAATCTGAGAGTTTATCATTTTACATATTTTTAGGCCAATTGACTGTAAAACTTCAAGAACAGGAATGCTAAGCTAGCCACTCCATCTTATGAGGAACCAGTACAACTGCTGAAAATACCCCTATCCTGTTAGTCACACACTGAGCCCTTCTAATTTACTGATTCACTACATTGAATGAGCAGTGCTTTCAGAAGGATATAGCTGTAAGCCTGGATTTAAATCATCTCATACTACTGTTAAAATGCAGGAATTTAGGCTGGCTGCCAGGATACCTCCCTACATTTCCAGCATGCAGACAAATAGACATTTGTTCTTCAGTGCTCCACTTACTTATGTATGTACATTTGGAGCATCCCATACACTTGAATTCACTAAATTCCTCAAACTTTCCAATTTTTTTCTAACTCAACTTTTTATATTTGCAATGAATTAGCATGAGATTCTGCCCTATGCCTTCAAATTATCCTGAAACCAATTTCGTCATCTAACATGTTAGGAACTCTTAAGCAGACAGATTTAAAGAACTCTGCCTTCAGATCAGAGTACATATATACACCTCACCTCATTTAAATCATCCCATTCTAAAAATCAAAGATATGAGACCACACTTGCAGTACTGTGTCCAGATCTGGGGCAGCCCCAGTGTAAGAAAAACATAGACTTGTTGGAATGGGTCCAGGGGAGGGCCACAAAAAATGGCCAGAGGCATGGAACATCTCTCCTACAAAGAAAGGCTGAGAGAGTTAGGGTTGTTCAGCCTGGAAAAGGCTCCAGGGAGACCTTATAGCAGCCTTCCAGTACCTGAAGGGGCCCTATAAGAAAAACTGGGACAAGGCCTGTTGTGACAGGACAAGGGGCAATAGTTTTAAACTAAAAGAGAGTAGATTTAGACTGGATATAAGAAATATTTTAGAGTGGGAGTGGTGAGGCACTGGAACAGGTTGCCCAGAGAGGTGGTAGAGTCCTCGTCCCTGGAGACAGTCAAGGTCAGTTTGGACAGATCTCTGAGCCACTTGATCTAGTTAAACCCATCCCTGCTCGCTACAGGGGGGCTGGACTGGGTGACCTTTAAAAGTGCCTTCCAACCCAAACTATCCTATGATCATCATTAATCAATTGCCTCTGCTGACCAGTATCACTGAAGTGCTACTGACTTCCATAGTAGCCTGACAGCAGTTAAGCAGTTCATGAGCTGACTTACATCTCAACTCCAATCATAACTTTCCATCTTCTGCCAAATAAAGACTTACAGCTCCAAATACGAATTTCCACAGCCAGTTCAGCACATTTCTATTTGTGTCAGCAGATCCCCTGAAGTTGCAAGCCAATGGCAAAACAGGAAAGAATTTGCATGTCTCCATGTTTGGAGACACCAAGAAAACATCCATCATGACATGGGCAAAAAAGCAGTAAATAAATGGCTTCTGCAGTCATAGAGACTTTCAGGTGAACCATGCCTGTCCCGATTTGAGCTAAACAGAACCAATTCTGTTCAGTGATTGTACTTTTCAGCTCAGTCTCTTCTAAGAGGCTGCACTTTCTGAAGTCAACAGCGTGTTTTTTGCAGTCAGTGTGTGCTGCTAGAAGTGATTAACACCTGATGTTTCTAGTTACTACCAAGGACTGGTATGCAGAAAGAGTCTCGCTGATACTTGCTCCTATAATAACCAAGATCACTGCTAGATCTTATGTGCCACATTGGGAGTGCCAGGAAATAAAAGAGGACACAAGGAAATGAAAGGTTGCACCTCTGGGGAGGAATGGACAGGACAGGTGACCAATAAGAGTATTCTGTTCTATGTATGTCAATATTCAGTATAAAGTCGAGGGTTACAGGAGTTAAGCTCTCTCTTGCTCTTCTTCAGTGGCCAGCATGTGAGGAAGACTCCATCCAATCTGCCTTTGATCCTGATCCTGAGTCCCTGAACCCAGCTCCTGCGCCCAGCTCCCCTTTGCTGCTGAGCCTGGGGCTTCCCTAGCGCCTGCCTGCTCTGCAGCATCAGTGGGGATGGCTATTGGGAGGGCAAGGAGTCACACAAAAACCATCGGTTTTGTATGAATTTGTATATATTTTCTTTATTTTCATTAGTTCCTTATCAGTACTATTATTGTTTATTAAAGCTGTTTTAATTTTCTAATCCATGTCTCTGCCTTACTCCCTTTCCTTTCCCCTTCAGGGAGGGAGAAGGGTTAGACAGCACCTGTCAGCATTTAGTGGCCGGCCCTGCCCTAATCCTTAACAGTGCCCATAGCCACAAGTCCTATTAATGTGAACAGCACAGAGCAAAGATCAATAAAAAGCCTCAAACTGATTGTGAAAATTTCTTGAGTTTTTCAAGTTTCCTCAAAAGCTGATTAGATGCTGGGTTCACAAGTTTCCAAATAACTAGTTCTTAAACACAAGCACTCCAAAATAATCAAACACTCATGTAGCAGAGAGATAAGATTCTTTTGAAAATATATAAATATAAAACATTTCCCCTCACCTAAGCACTTAGAGAAACACAGATATTAGTCAACAAAAAGAATGTTAGTGCTTTTTAATAAATGGAGACAAAGAACTTATAAAGTCTGTCTTTATGTCACATTTTCTTATAGTAAAATCAAAAAAGAATTGCAGAAGATGACAGAAATAACCAAACAGTTTACAAATTCTGTACTCCACAGTGTTGTGGAGTACAACACTATCCATAGAACAGAGAGAAGAAAGCAAAACAATACTCATTTAAGGAATTGCATATGTAAAATGGGGTTGTTTCTATATAAATGTAGGCTTTTCAGTAGTAACGTTATTTTGTTGTGTGTCCTACACAACAGTCCAAGTGCTACACAGATGGTCGGCTGCTCAAACCACAAACTGCAAAACATCTGTACAGTACTGACCACCAGAGCCTGCTGGAAGAGGCAGCGGCTCTCCTTGCTGTCCATTCACACAGCTTGCTTTCTTGCAGAAAACAGGAAGCTACTGTTGACATTGATATTGATGTATTATCTGTTAAAAGCAGCATTCCAGTGTAAACGGCCATGTCAGAGAGCCCTGCCAGAATTGGCCTGGATGGACGCTCATAGAAGAGCATGTTGGGCTTGTTAAGCACCCTCTTGATCCTGAGGGTCCTGCAACACTGCCTGGTTTCCTTACCCATGCTGGCACATTTCCTGGGCAAAAAACTTTCTCAGCACAAACTGCCTCAGAACTAAACTCCCAAATGCACATACTGCATGTCCTCGAGCTCCATTGATTTACTGTGTGCCTCAGCAGGGACACTTCTTAACTGACAGTGTGTGACAAGGATACCAAAATGGGTACATACTTTATCTTACCTAACACAAGACATAGACAAAGACAAAATAAGAACTGACTTAAGCCATAGTCCAGGATCTCATAATCTAGGAAGGGTTTCCAGTTTTAGCACTTAATTTGTCTGCCAGTGTTGGCATTTTCAACAGTGAAATGTCTCCAGAAGCAATGAAAAGGATAATTATTTCTCTGAATTTCAAACATTCTACTATCCCTTATCTGGGAAGCCTGCAACATCACTTGATATTATACAGACAAAAGCCCACAGAAACACCTTGCTATACCAGAACATTTAAACTCAAGCAAAACATCAGGTTTTGCTTGATCAAGTTCCTCAAGCCACTGTGTTGCTAATCTTTTCCTTATACCAGAGCAAGATCAGGATAACAAATTGAATTTGAAATCAAATTATGGAATTGTCCCTTTGGTTATGCAGCCAGCAGAGGTGAAGGGCAA